CTTTGTTGCTGTCATTTAAAGTATTCAAGAACCTCTGTGTTCTTCCTCTTCGTCCTGGAGCCTGAAGTCTTTTTTCTTTGTTTTGTCCATTTTTTTGCATGCTTTTTCTTGCATTTTTTCTGCTATTGTCTTTTCTTTTCCGCTTTATCTGACTCTAATTGCTTCTCTAGCAGGAAGCCATTTTCACATTCAAACATATGGCGGTAGATATCCATCAACAATTCAATTTTTTTGTCAATCTCGGTGTCCATTCCTGTTGCTCTTGCTTCTTGTGATTCTTGTTTTTTAAACAAATGGATAAATTAGTACCCAAAAAATCTAGTATTCACTGCTGGTTGGTTGAGGCTGGGAGGAAAACCAGAGTATTCTATCTCTTTCAAATTTTCAGCGACGCTTGCATAATCCTCTCCATGCTTGCGAGAGCCATGCTTCTATTTATAAGGGAGCGATTGCAGAATACCCCTCCATTTGTAGGCTGCATTATTGAGTGGATACGTGGATACTTGGCTACACAGTGACTTAAAATTAAATGATTTAATTTACTAAGGTATAGGAGATATGGAGTGGATGCGTAGATACTTGGCTATGCAGTGAGTTCAATTAAAATGACGTAATTGAATAATGTGGAGACAGTATTGATATATAAGTAGATACCATAACCCATACACTAAACCTGACCCTGAGGCTCAAGCCATAAATGCCTTTCACATTTCCTGGGTAATTATGTTTCTATGCATTCCCACCTTTTTATCAACCAAGTATTGCAAAAAGTTTCAGAAGAGAAGTCAACAGGCATAATGGTAGTTCCACACTGGCCTACCCAGGCATGGTGGCCATGTCACTAATATATTTTCAAACTAATATGTTTGTTAATCAAGTGTCCTCTTATTAATCCCATTTCTCCAAATGTAGGGACAGCAATTGATTTTCTACATAAATTTTACAAATATGGACTATCCTATAGCACATTGAACACAGTTCGCTCAGCTCTATCTAGCGTTATCCACCCAATAGACAATTTCACATTCGACAACCACCCACTAGTGACAAGATACATGCAAGGAGTGTTTGTAAATAGACCAGCACTACCATGTTACAAACAGATCTGGGATGTGTCTGTATTTATAAAATACTTAAAATCTTTCGAGGATAATACACAACTACCATAATACACAACTACCCTTCAAGATCTGACTATGAAGACAACCATGTTGCTTGCCCTTGTTACAGGACAGCGTTGCCAGACCACACAGGGCTTGGACATTGCACATGTGATTAAAAGTGATGACTTGTGGTCTTTTCATATAAATAAACTGTTAAAAACCACTCGTCCTGGAAAGCATTTCCGATAGATTGAGATAAAATATTTTACAGAAGACAAAATGATATGCCCAGTAACTGTTCTCAAAGAGTATGTGCCAAGAACGCTACCTATATGAAAGGATAGCTCTCAATTACATCTGAGCTACCAGAAGCCACACAAACCAGTTTCATCAGAAACCATTGGCAAATGGATCAAAAAGACTTTAAATTATAGCAGGCATAGAGTATTATGGCACATTACAGTATTTGGCACATTACAGTATTTGGTGCTCACAGCACAAGGTCAGCATCCACATCTGCCACAAAGGTTAGCAACATGGCAATCAGTACCATTATGGGCGCAGCTGGGTGGTCGAACATGAAAACTTTCAGTAAATTTTATAACAGACCAATTGAAAGTAATCAAAAAGAAAATTTTGGGCATAGTCTCTTAAAAATTGTTAAAGTTGTTTAGCATGCATAATGTTGATCATTGTTCCATAGCAAACTAACCAATGACAAAGTAGAATTAAAAAATTAAATGAGACTTACCTGTAAGGTGAAGTTTGATTGAGATTCTACGAGTTATTGGTTAGGAGCGAAGGAGTCACGGACCCACCCTATGGTTTTACCCAGCCTTAAAGCTTTCAGCTTGTAATAAATATAAATGACCATTCAAACTCCTTTTGAAGACTGCCGCTCGATCCTTTCCATGCTATCTGGCCATGTTGCCAACCTTCGAGGCAGAGGTGGATGCTGAGCTTGTGCTGTGAGCACCAAACGCTGTAATGTATATGCCTGCTTTAGTTAAAGTTGTTTTGATCCACTTGCCAATGGTTTCTGATGAAACTGGTTTGTGTGGCTTCTGGTAGCTCAGAAGTAATTGAGAGCTATGCCTTCGTATAGTTAGCGTTCTTGCCACATACTCTTTGAGAACAGTTACTGGGCATATCATTTCATTTTCTGTAAAAGATTTGATCTCAATCTGTCCAAAGTGCGAGGTGCAATCTGTCCAGGTCGAGTGGTTTTTAACAGTTTATTAATATGAAAAGACCACAAGTCATCACACTAAATCACATGTGCAATGCAAGCCCTGTATGGTCTGGAAACGCTGTCCTGTAACAAGGGCAACCAATGGTAAGTTGTGTATCTGTTTGTAACATGGTAGTGCTGGTCTATTTACAAACACTCCTTGCATGTATATTGTCACTAGTGGATGGTTGCCAAATGTGAAATTTGTAGTGTTTTGCCTTTGAAAACCGAATAAAAACTGGATACCTCGCTTTGTAAAATGAAAGCTATATTTCTAAATTCAAGAGCCCCCGAGAGCGAGAGCGTAACATGTGACATACATTTAATAATTAACTAGGGGCCTAGTGCCCATAGAGGGGCTAGACACTACATCTCTCCCCATTTTGAATAAAGTCTGATTTGTCCTTGACTTGGACTGTCTTTAACGAAATGTCAACTTTAACTTTAAACTACTAAATACGATTATATATTGTTCATTGAAATCAAATTGTCTAATTGATCATCAGTTATAGCCGAGTCTGTTTGGTGGTACTCTTTGACGTTGGGATCGCCTGAGTTGAGGAGGAGCCGCCGGTGGTGGTTGATTCGTAAGGATCGGATCGTAGTCTTCGTCGTCGGTGTCATCGTTTGGCACTGGGATATTTCCGATCTTTTTAAAGAATGATATGTTGCGGGTCGTTTTTTGGGGACCATGTTTTGAAGTGACCATGCTTCCTTTTATGGCTACGACAAGGAATGGACTTGGGTCAAAAGCAGTGGTCAGCTTGTTCGCTTTCGGTCGTTGGACTAAAACTGTATCTCCGACCTTTATTTCACTGGCTTTCGAATGCCGTCTTTGATCTGCGTATGTCTTCATCTTCGATTTTTTCTTGGTATCGCGATCTTTGATGGAAAGATAGCTCTCGCTTTCTGTGGTATTCGAGAGCTGAGGAAGGGGTGTCTTTAACTCACGATTGTTCAGGGCTTCGGATGGTGACACATTAGTCGTGCTGTGAGGAGTTGCCCGGTACTGACGTAGGAAGACATTCATTTCTTGTTTCCAATTTTTCTTTTCCAGATGGGCTGTACGAATTGCTTTTCCGAGGGTTCGCATGAAACGTTCGACCTCGCCGTTGGCTTGCGGCCAATAAGGGGTAACCTTCCGATGATGGAACCCAAGATAGTTGGCAAACTGTGCAAAGTCATTGCTGTGGAAAGGTGGGCCGTTGTCGGATTTGACAACGTCGGGTATCCCTTGTCTCGAAAAGATACCGTCAAGTTTCGGGATGACCGCTTTTGCGCTTGTTGATGTGAGTATTTCAACTTCGGGAAATCTGCTGAATTCATCGATCACCACGAGTAAGACTTCGCCAGAGGGAAAGGGACCAACAAAGTCCATAGCTACTTCTTTCCACGGACCCTTGGGTAATTGCGTCATTTTTAACGGGATTGGTTTTGGTAAGGTACCTTGTGTTGCGGCTTGACATGGAACACAGTTTTTGATTTGATCTTGGACGGCCTTATCGATTGAGGGAAACCAAACTTTCTCGTGTAGTAACTGCTTGGTCTTCACGATTCCCTGATGACCAGCGTGTGCCAATTCAATAGCTTGGTGTTGGAGTGATTGTGGGAGGACTAGACGCATTCCGCGGAGGATTAAGCCATTGCACACAGACAGTTCATCTTTAACGTTATGATACGGCTTGGTTGCTGGATCAGACCAATTTTTTTTCTCAATTGCTTGTGCAATCTTCTGGAGGGTGTTGTCATTCTTGGATTCTTCCTTGACTTCAGAAAGGGTCATAGCTTTCGGAACTATGTTGTTGCAAAGGTAACGAATGTAATGTTCTGCAATGTTATCTGGGATTGGAGCAGTTTTGTCTTGGTGACGACTCATGAAGTCAGCTGGGTTAGCATCATCTTTTCCAGGCCTGTATATGATTTCGCATTGGTATGGCATTAATCTCAATTTCCAACGGTCGATTCTGGCAGATGTCGATTTTTGACTTTTGAAAATCCCAAGTAAGGGCTTGTGATTTGTGAGAATGGTGAACGTTGCACCGTATAAGTAGAGGTGATAGTGCTCAGCTGCCCATACGACTGCTAGCATTTCTCGTTCTGTTTGCGAGTAACTGGATTCTACTTCGGAAAGCGCACGGCTGCCATAACTGATAACTTTTTTTTCTTGCATTAGAATTGCTCCGAGACCAGTAGGGCTTGCATCAACGACCACTTCAGTGGGCTTTGTTGGATCAAAGTAGGCCATGACCCGGTCGCTAATCAATTCTTTCTGCAATGTTCGAAAAGCAGACTCTTCTTTTCGATCCCACTTCCATGGGGCGTTCTGATGGGTCAGGGCACATAAGGGAGCAGTAATGGTAGCATAGTTCGGGATAAAACGCGAAACGTATTGGGCCATACCAAGGAGGGATTTCACTTCACTTGGGCTCTCTGGTGGTTGCGTGGTCTTGATAGCATGAATCTTCTGTGGTGCAGCTTTAATACCATCAGCGCTGAAGGAGTGCCCGTAAAATATCACTTCTGAGGCGGGCATTGTTGTCTTGGAGGCAGGTTAAAACGTGATTCAGGTTTTCATCATGTTCCCTGACGTCGCGACCATACACAATAATGTCATCGGAAATGTTCTTGCACCCCGGCAGTCCAATTAGGACCTCGGCGATGGAGTGCTAAAATATTTCTGACGCAGCATTGATTCCAAACATTAATCGTTTGTATCTTCGGAGACCAATATGGGTGGAGAAAGTTGTGATATGACGGCTTGCAGGGTCAAGTTCGAGTTGATGGTACCCAGATGTGAGGTCTAGTGTGCTAAATACAGTGGCACCATTCAGGTCTGTGATCAGTTCGTCTAGGGTTGGCATGAGGTGTTTCTCCCGCCTCACCGCTTTATTGGCCTCGCGCATGTCAACACAGAGGCGGATTGCGCCAGTCTTCTTTGGCACAACAACAACAGGGCTGACCCAAGGGGTGGGTTCATCTACTTTCTCGATAATGTCTAGTTCTTCTAAGCGTTGAAGCTCAGCTTCGACATCTTTACGGATGTGAAATGGAATACGGCGGTGGGGTTGTTGTTTGGGCTGGACATCTGAATCTATATGTAGCTTAATTACTTTGTCCTTGATTTTCCCAATACCATCGAACAAGTGCTGAAATTGGTCTTCTGGAGAGGTGGTGGGGGTGTTCAGTGCTGTGTTTACAGTGATTTTTAGGATTCCGAGGCTTTCGGCTGTGTTGTTACTCAAAAGATTTCCGTTTCCGCCTTGCGTTACATAAAAGGTTGCCTGGATGACAGTGGACTTAAAGCGAATGTTTGTAGTGAACATTCCAAAAGTGATAACTCAATCTTTGAGCCATATGCATATATCTTGGACCGCGGTGTGGTGAGCACAATGCTTTGATCTTGATTTCTAATTTTGTCATAAGTCAACTCATCAATAATATTGACAGAAGCACCTGAGTCGATTATGGTCTTGACTGGTTCCTTTGCGATGTACACTTCACATAATGGTGATGGAGAGGGTTGTTGGTTGTGTTTCACTGTGAATATGTAGTCAGGGTCATCCATTGGGGAGTCATCAATTTGTCGAACCGCTCTATGTTTAGGTTTGGATCGGCAGACCTTGGCGAAGTGACCACTTTTGCCGCATGATCGACACTCTTTGCCTTTGGCGGGACAATCACCTGTGTGGGGGAAAATTCCGCCACAATTACGACATTGTTGCCTTGGAGTGGGTGGTGCAGGTGGGTTTCTGTTGTTGTCAGGTGGAATGAGAGGTTTGGATATTTTCTGGTGGTATGTCGATTTCGGGAGTTGGTTGTTTGGTTTAGTTTTATACTTTAGGGCATTCACTTCAGAGGTACCCTTTTCTACAACTGCAGCTTGCTCTTCACTGCGTTCATGTGCACGACCAGCAGCAAGTAGATTTGCCAGGGTTGGGTTGTCACGTAGGGCTTGTCGCCGTAATTTATGGGACAAACATCCAATGATTATTTGTGTTTTCACTTCTTTATCTACGTTTGTAAAATCGCAGGTTTGCGCTAGTCGTCTGAGTCGGGTGTGATAGGCATCAATGATTTCGCCTTGCTGTTGTTTAGCCTGGCGAAAATTGTACTCTTCAAAAGCCGTGTTTGCTTGAGGAATAAAGTATGTGTTGAGGGCGTCAATTGCTTTTTTACAGTCCTTGTCTTCGCCAGTGTCAGGTAGGGTGTCAAATATTTCATCTACTGCTGGCCCAGCATAGTGTAATAAGAGGGCGTGTTGTTGTTTTGCTTCCGTAATATTTGTTGCTATAAGGAGTTGTTCGAATCTAGCGAGATATTTTTTCCATCTTGGGCCAATGTTGCCATCTATGTGCACATCAAACGGTGGAAAGTCAGGTAAGGAGACACTTGAAACAGCCATGGATATAAATTATGTATTTTGTTCAAGCGCTTTGTTAAACAAAATATGTAAATTCGTTGAGTTTACAAATTGGCGCGTTCGCACTTTGGAACTGTATTTTGCCGTTTTACTTCAGGTATTTTAGTGATAGCTTGTAGAAAATCGATCCTCGTCGCCAGAATGTAGTGACCTATCCGGGAGAACTTAAGACCTGGAATTGTCGACCATTTTATGAGACAAAATGTGCATGTCAACGCCGCTATTTAACTTGTGTTCTTGCTGTAGCTCGTTGGTTTTCGGCACATCCACTACGTCACAAAGTGGGAGCTCCAACAGAAATTTGGTGCCGAGACATGTTCAAGTTGGAAGGAAATGCAAATTTTGTTCCTGTTCAGCGAATTTATTGTAAATTTGTTCCAGCATATGAAGATATTCAATGTGAGCGTGTCCTTGTGGTTTGCCCTAGATTCAATGCTAAAATATTCCACCCCATGTAATTGGCATATTCATACCAAGACCCTTGATATGAGTGAAATTATATGGTATGGTTGCTTTGTTGCATTTTAAGCGATAATGCTTAGCCAAAATAGCAACTGCTAAATGAATTAGAGTACCCAATTTTAGTGTTTTCTCCCTTAAAATGACAGACTTGAAGAAATTAAGAAGCACAAGACTATTTAAGGACAGGGAATTTCCCTACAATTCCGTTTTCATGTTTGTTGGGTTTTTAGCAAATATCAAACTGAATTTCACAGAAGTGTTGCTGTTTGCAGGTATACACATTTGTGAAGCTATCAATGTTTTTTCACAAAAGGAATTTTTGTTTGGTAAATTTAGTTTAAACTATGCTTTTTACAACGAGAAGTGCGGTAAAGTCATCACTATAGGTTCATTCACTACTCTATGATTCTTCTGCCTTTCTTTTATTGCTCCATTTTGTGACTGATACAATTGAAAACATTATATGCGATACAGGCACTCAATCCAATTGCAGAGTTGAAAATTATAATAGTTAATGTGTAAATGCTATATTGCCAATTGCCATATAAAGGCCTATAAAGTTTCAATAGTATACGACGAAGTAAATTTTATTGTGGAAAATAGCAGGATTATATATATTTAGCAAAGCTTTGTGTTTGGATCGTTATCAGTGCAATAGCCTAGGCTATTTAGTCATGTAAAAATTGTAATAAATGTATCTGACTCCTTCAACCTAAGCAATGAATTCTCATGAAAAAGGGCAAGGGCGCACCGTGTGAAAATGGAGGTCTTTATGATGTACGCGACATTAAATATCTGCGTTAGTCGTTTTTTACACACATGCCTGGTTTTTTAAAGAAATTTTGAAGTGCACATAGTTTAAAGGGAAATGTCACTAAGCAAAATCTGTTTGAGGGGATGGGGGTGGCTGGAGGGCAGAACAAATACAAACCCCAACATAGTTTTGTCACAGTGGTGAGTACCAGACAAAATTGATCAGTTTTGCAGATATTTTTCCTCAGAAAACTTGTGCCTCTTTATAAGATGGAATTTTCTGCCTGCTATGAAAGATTTCACATCCAAAATTTTCTCTTTGGGCAAACTGACCTATTTCCCACTGATGACAACTGTTTTTCAGACTGTTTTTCAGACGAAACAAATAATACTGTGGTTCCTCACTCTAATTTTTTTTCACTCTACAATTTGTTTGTAAGGAAGATGGGGGGTGCACATTTGTGTTTTTAGGACTGCATAGATTTAGAACTGCACTTTTTTGGGGAAATGCATGTTAAAAACCCTAACCGGCGTGTGGAAAAGTACAGGACGTCTAACATGAAGTACAGTGAGTTCTGCGAATCTGCACCCACCGATTGCGCTTGTGGTCGCCTTATCTGAATCAATTCAAACACAATTGTATTAAATTTCTGCTTACAAATGTTATAAAGATTTTTATCGATTCACTGTATGTAATAATATTTCATTCAAAGATAAGAAAGGTGCTACTAAATGTATTATATAATGTGTTCAAAAGTTATACAAAGGATAACTGAATTTGCATGTTTATTTCTCATTTTTTTGTCAGGAGGGGTGCAATAATTTGGCGGGAAAAATATAATGTTTATGAGCTTATTTGTTTAATAGTTCTTTTATTTGGTGCCTTCAAGCCCTCTAGCAGATTTAATAGTGTATTTATAAGATACTCTCAAACCCCCTAGCAGATTTAGTCCCCAAAAAGTCAACCAACTGTTTGGCATGCTTAACAGATCATGGCAAAGCATTTAAAAGAAAAATGGCAGCAGTACAAACGGAAAAGCCGGATAAGGTGGAGAAAGAAAAAGAAAAGTGAGCCAACCGCAAAAGGCAAAGTGGATCAAGACAATCAAGAGGCAGAGATAAATACTAGCCAGCTGACATACCTGGATACTGAGAATATTGAATTCAAGCCCAGCAGCATTAAAGATAAATGTGAAAGAGATTTTGACAAACATTTAGAGAATGATGGATTATATGTTCATATGATGAAATATTTTAGGAAAATAAATGGATTTTTAAGATTTAAGAAAATGATTTAAGAAAGTATCCAAAGGCGACTTTAGTTGCAATAACCTGCTTACATACAAGTACAGCGAGAAAATTAAAACATTTGCAGTAAATATATAAATTTTAGTTCCTTTCATTTCTTCGGAAATCATCTTCTCAAGAAAGATGTTGTAGTCACAGGAATGTCAATTTTTTGTGTAGGCACATAGCTATATTTACAAATCTTATAATTTTGGGTGAAATACATGTACAATGCTGCTGGGTTGATTGCTGGGCTAGTGACTGTTATTGTGTATACTTAAACCCAATTTAGCTTCATGATAGTAAGTTGTTTTACAGTACATTCATTTTGAAACTGAGAACATTTCTAATCATGAGAACAAAGAGGTTGTAGCCTAAAGTATTGTATTTTTTTCTCCCATGTAAAATCTCACTAACCACTGAGCTTTTGGACATACACAAACAAGCCAGTCTTTATGCTCTGACTTTATTTGGATTGACCATTTTATTAGATCTTTAAAGGAACTTTTGTCAGTGAGTAACTGTTATTGTGAAGTTAAATTCTATTTAGCTCCATTATACAGTATTGAGAGTTAATCTGAATCCCTTTGCAATCAAGCAAATTTATAATTACGAGAGCAAAGAGGTGTTACATATATATTTACAAAATCTCACTAACTTTTAAGCTTTTAGATAACCTACACAAACAAAATCTTTAAACTGATGGGTTAATTTGGAGTGATCATTTTATGAAATCTTCAGAGCAACTTTTGTCAGTAAGTGACTGTTATTGTGTAGTTATAAATCCAATTTAGCTCCATGATTGTGAGTTTTCTACATTCTTTTTGAAGCTGAGTAAATTGAGAACAAAGAGGCTGTAGCCTACATTTAACTACTGATATTTTACAAAATTGTACGCTTCAGGATAAACATACTACACTGGGATTGAATTTGGAATGATCATGAGATCTTTATTGTGAAGCTAAATCCAATTTAAATTATAATGATTAATGTATGAGATTCTGTCATTCTGCCCATTGCCTAATAATTACTCTTTCTTATTTATAGTTGTGTATCCATGTTTGTCTGAAAGGTAAATGTCAGCAAATAGGAATATTATAACATTTACATATGGTTTACAAGAAAGAAATATAATATCTACACAAATTTTTCCCATCTGGCAAATTTCATGTTTGCTTCGAATTTGCATCATAAGAAAATATGCGAAAGACAGTATATTTTCACTATGGCTGCAAATATATGTCAAATCATGCACAAACTTTAACTTTACAATTCTGTGTAAATTTAATCTAAAATATTTTGAAATATGATATTTACACATTTTTATCTTCCATTTACCATGAATTAAACATATAAGTTTGCCGATATTTAACCTCCATGGTAAATATATTTCAAATATAGTGCTCTATTTTCACACCATATTTGCCTTCAAAGTAAACTTATGAAAATCCAATTTTTCATGCCGTGCTAGTGAATCAATTTTGGTCAAGATGGCACAAAGAGTTCCTGAGTTCCTGTATTCCCTGCAACCGAGGCAAAGGTGATCACACCTACATCATAATATGCGAGTGGGTGATATCGTGTTGTTGTTGGAAGACGTCCAGAAGTTAGTGTTACTTCTAAAATGTGAAAATCATAACATCAAGAATTAGAGATTACCCGACAGAGAGCCTTATGGAACAGTACAAACAAACATGTTACGTTTTCAGTTTAAGTTACTTAGTTTATTTAGTAAATCATTTAAACAAAACAATTTAGGGAAGCCATGTAACTGTGGGCTCGCTTTGGAACCAGCGTGTTTAGCTTTGTTTTGTGTTAAAAAAAGTTTTCGTATGGCAAGGATGGACCTTTGTATTGCGATATTGCGTAGATATTCATAGTATGTCTTAACTATAATATATGTTAATTAGTGTATAGCTAACAAAGAGAGGACATTCAATAAGTCTTGTTATCATTTTGGCTGTGTTCAACTTGCCTTTGATACATTTTCTTAGGGTATATTCGACTTATACTTAAACTTACTCTATTATTTGTACTTATAGTTTTACATCAAGTTATAGTATATTATAAAGAGCTTATGTGCAATCGTATGTGTGCACCTCTTATGCGATATCCCTAACTTGTCAGTTCAAGCAAACAATCTTGGCAACCAAGCTTTACACAATTAAAACAGTGAGAAATATACCAAAAATTGCGTGCCGGGAGTTACAATGACCGTCTTACAAACCAAGACTTAGCATACTAAGGAGGCACAATGTCAATGCAGGTTAAAAAATCCTTTATTCATTTTTTTCCTGGAAATACCATGTTTTCACAATAAATTCATTCTGTAAGGTTATTTATCATCCACTGTTGACCAACCATCCATGGTGTGTAACATCCGGATAATCTACGATAGGATGCAGGGCCTTTTGCCAAATGGCTGCTTCATAAGCAGCTCGCTCGCTGCGCATGTTTACCCAGCGCATCTTTCGGACATG